TATCACATCACATGCCGATGTGATTTATTTATTTTTTTAACACAACTTAATTTTGCAAGAACTTTGTTTTGGTTTAATCTTTCTAATTAGAATTCAATGTATCTAAGATATCATGCATATTTTTTTTTTTCTGGATTTGATATCGACATGCATATTCCTTTGTCGCATTTAACAATTTTATTAGTATTTTGATAGCATTGTGATGAATAAATTAATGATAATTTATTTTGTTTTAAATATTTTTTATATATTTTAATTTTAATTTATCATGATAAATTGGATAAGAGTTTTAAAAATAATTAAATAATATCTGATAATTAATTTTAACAATATTTATAATAGAAATAAAACTATAACTTTCTTCTAATAAATAGATAAATATATAAATTTATTAATATATATTATTTTAGTATTATTTAGAAATTGAGATTAAAAATATTTATATGTCTATCAAAATCTACTACGAAGTATTTTTAAGGATAAATTCTAATAATATAAGAACGAAATATTTTCTATTCAATTTTGTCGAATGAGTTAAAATAATATTAATGTTGGTTTTTAATTAATTGTCATACTCAATTTATTTATGCTGATAATATATAAAATTAAATCTTTCAATTATGAAAAAAAAATTATAAACTGTTCTATAACTATTTTAAAATAGTTTTATAAATTTTTTTCCTTAAGTAGTCTTGTTACTCAATTGTCAAATGTTTGATGTAATTGTCCTTGTCCATGCCCCATGCATTTGAGTATTGTCTGAAGTGGGACCAACCGTTTGGTTTGGCTGGTGCGTCTCTCACGTGAATAAACAACGTTCCTATCCTATGACCCTTTTCAAATCATCTTTGAATCCCATGTACAAAAAAAAACACTCTACTTAAAAACAATAAATTGCACTTCATATTATTAAATGAAAAAGTTTCAAGAATTGACTCAAAAATTTAAATTATGATAAATAAATAATAAATGTAAATATAATATTAAATAAGAGATCTATTATTACATAAAAGAAAGTTTATATTAATTATTCTACTTGGTTATAAATAGTTAAATTTTAAATATAAATATTAGAATTTTTAGGTAATAACTACTTTAAAAAATATATATTAATTATTCTCAACATTTTGTAAAACTACATAGATACTTTTAGTTTTTCATTAATATTCGAATTGTTTGTATAACTCCATTTGTTTTTTGGTCTTTCAAATAATTTATTTTACCAATTCAAGATTCAATCTCTGTAATTTATTTATTTTAATTTAGATATGTTTTTCCTAATAAAACTGGGAAATGTGGCCAATAGCCTTATTCCATCACTTTGACAAATTAATGTAAATAGGTCATCATGGGAAATTAATAAAATAAAAAAATAGAGTTGTTTGATTATTTTTTCTAAAATAATATATATTTTTTTAAATTATCCAAATATACTTCCTCCACCTTATTTATTCAAAGAGAAAGATTTACTGTTGTCATTCAAACTTTTTTTTGAGAATCCAAAATTCAACTTACAAAGCGTTAAAGTAAAAAAAAAAAATTGTCAGAATTTGATTATCCAGTGACCAATTATGACTACTTTTTTATTTCATTATATATAGAGAGAGAGGTATAGATATATAAATATATAATTTTTTAATAAACTTTGTTTTTCGATTACATATTATATTTTATTCTATTATGTTAATTTTTTATATTAGTTAGTTGTAACAAAATATATATTATAAAAATAACAAATATAAATACTAAGTAGAAATTTAGTTATTGTTTTAAAATTAATATTAGTATACTTATATTAATGTTATTAATATGAATGTGAGATAATAATAAAGTATAATGTGAATATTATTATTTATCTAAAATAAGCATACATATGTATATTTAATATTTTTTAGTGTAAATAACAAAATTGGTAAGAGTAATAATTATTGAGGTGTTATATTCCAATATATTAATTACAAAATGTTAAGTAAATTTTGATATATTAATTGAAATTGCAAGTAAAACTATTTAACTTTTCTTTCTCTTTTTCTTTTTTGGGAGCTTAGTATTTTTAGATCAAATCATGTTAAAACATATTTGTAAAAAGAAACTAGCTTAAAAAATACTGATGAAAATATGAAATAATGATTAAGAATCATTAATTACGCTTAAGGGACTATGTTTTAGTATTGTATGATTATGTCTGTGTCATGTTGAGCCTTTGTCATGAGGGTTTGTGATGATAGATTCGACTGGATTCTCGGGCCTTTATTAGGTATGTGTCACGGCTTTTGCATCTTGGACGCTAATTAAATTAAATTTCATTTTACTATTACACTTATTTTTTTTAATGTTTATTTCTGATTTTGTTTAATGATAATATTTTCATTCTTTCCTACTCTTTTAAAAATTACAAAAAATATGTCAAACTTTTTTTTATCAAATTTTTATATATTCATGCAACGATTTTTTTTTATTTTATATTTTACTAAAAACACATGGTAGGAAATGAGAAAATTGAATTTTTTTTTGAAAAACATGGTTATGGATGTGCTTTTTGAAATTGATTTTTCTGAAATACTCTACTTCCCTATTGTAATTTTGTTTATTTTGGAAGTGTAATTTGAAAGTGTAGTCTGGATCGTTTTTAAAAAATCAATTTCAGCATGTATTATGAAATGAATTTTTCAAAATATATTTTTAAAATTAACTTTTTAGAAATATATTCTAAAAAATGCTTTCTATAATTAATTTTGCATAAATGAATTTCAAAATGATGAATCTGGAATTGATTTGTAAAAATGTATAATAGTGTTGCAAAATAAGTTATCTGTAATGGATTTCTAAAAAAAGTCAATTCCAGAATATGTTTTAAATTTGGTATTCCATATTTTAATCTTATTTTTGCAATATAATTTTAAATTGAATATTTTGGATTTATTTATATTTTGAATAAAAAATATATAATTGATATATAATATTAATGATTAATTACTACTAATTATTAAAAAAAAAAAAACAATAACACGTCAAAAATCAAATAGTCAGTCATGTGCCTGGGTCCAATCCATTTGGTCTCACCTTGAAATGAATTGAAGAAAAAAAAAAAAAAAACACCCATGTGACTGATCACAATTTTCTTTGTCTTCTTCTTTTCCCCATCTTGTCTTCATCTAATAGAAATTGTAGCTAGTTACAGTAGTTGACATAATATGTGATTTGCCTGTGAAACTTCTTGTTTTTGTGTGTGTATTCTGTGTTGTTTTTTATTTCTCAAATTGTATTGAATGTTTTTTCTAGTTAACACTGATGTTATTTGAATTAATTTATATATATATATATATATATATATATATATATATATAAATAGTTCTTAATTAATTTAAAATGTCCTATATAAAAAACTATTTATTTACAAATTATTTCACATTCAAGATCAAATAAAATTTTGATGATGAAAGTTTATAGTGTTTTAAGAATCAATTGTGATTTCAACATTATGGTAGATTTAGATAACATCATAAAATTTTTGAGAAAGTTGCAAATTGGTCAGGAGAATAATTTTTGAGACAAGTCACTTTACATCATAAAATTTTGATTATAATATAAAAAATTGGTTAATTTTTTTTAATGAATCTTAATTTTTATTTTTCTTTAAAATATTAAAGTTAATCTAATTTTTTTCTTTTATATGTAAACATGTTATTATTTGTAAATTATTGAAATTTTGCATATTTTATTTTAATTTTTCACATCAGAAAATTATGATATTATATATTTTTATATATGTACTGAGAATTTTTAAATCATTTATTTATTTTAATTAAAAAATAATATTATATCACAATTTAAAACTATTTACTAAAAAACTATAATATAATTTATATTGAAAATTATTTATTATAAGTTACAATTATACAAAATAAATGTTCATCTTAATCAATAATACAGTGGATCATAATAGTTTTTAATAACTTTAAAACTTTCATTTATATAATTTATTAAACATGAAAACATAAGTATAATAACTTTATAATTTGTTTTATCCATAAAAGAAAAAAATGTTAAATGATTTTTGAATGATCATGTGAAAATAAAAATAAGGTAAAGTGATATGTATATAAAAACATAAGAATATTTGTGTTTTTGAAAGACTTAAACTTTATTTATTGTATTTCTTTTTATAAATCTAGAAGACCTTTTTTAATAATATATTTTTTCTTATTTTCTTATATAAATGAGAGAGATATTTAATATACATTATCCTCTTTTCACTTAATTATTTTTTTCCAAGAAGTGCAGCAATTTTACTGGTGCATGCACTGTAATATATAGTAAAAAAATAATTTTATATTATCTTAATTTTTTAAAAACATTAATTTTTAAAATATTTGTTAATTTATTTTATATTTATATATTTTATAATTTGTTGTAAAAAATTAATATACATCACATATTTCCCCTTTTTATTTTTCATAAAAAGGAACACATTCACATGTAAGTAATGGATGCATAAATCTCCAAGCGTTTTCTAATGCAAAAAATTATTTAAATATTTAAACCATATAAAAATAATTTGATATATAATTGTTAATAAAATTTTAAGATAATTATTAGATAAAATAAAAGAGTATTATATATGATATTTAAAATAATTAATAAGAAGTTTCAATATTTTATAACCCATCAACTTTTTCCCACAACTTGCAAGAGTCAACCAAACTCACCAAAAATCACATGCAACTCTCATCACCATTCTCATTTTTTTTTAATTCTTAAAAAAAATGATGAAAAAAAAAACAATGAAAAATCGTAAAAAAAAAGAAAATTATGAAAAAAAAACAATGAAAAAAAAGAGAGTACTGAAACCATCAATTACATAATTGAAGGTGAAAGAAAAGTCTAAAAACAAACCTGAACCTAACTTCGGAAACTCCGTCGTCTCTAGCCTTCTCTGTTTCTTATATCATTTCTCCACATCATGTCTTCTGCACTTCGAAAAACTATCTCCAACGGTCATGAACGGCGCCGGTGAGTCCTCCTTAAAGCGCAGGAGCAAAAATCACAAGTCTCCCACTAACGGCGTTAAGGTGGCAAACGGCGCCATGGCCAAAACTGCTTCGACGCATTATTCAGATGCTTCGTTCATGAAATGGACCCTGGCCGATGCTGTCTACGTGGCGACACATCATTGGATACTGTGCCTATTTGCATTGGGGCTCCTTTTCTTCATGGGCGTGGAGTACACGCTTCTCATGGTGCCATCATCCGCGCCGCCCTTTGACTTGGGTTTCATTGCCACGCGCCCCCTCCATGCGCTCCTCGAGTCGTCGCCGCACCTCAACACGCTCTTCGCTGCCCTCAACACGGTACGTCGTTTATGTTTTCTCAGATCTGAACCGATGGGATCTTTTTTTCTGTTCCGGTTTTTGATGCGGATAATTGTTAGATCGAATTTGTTTGAAGGAAATGCAAATGGGTTGGTCTCAAAATCTGATATTCTTACTGCATTTATTTTTATTTTTAGTTTATACTGTGCATTAATGGCTTTTGATACCGTAGATGTTTGTTGGAATGCAAACGAGCTATATCCTGTGGACGTGGCTGATTGAAGGACGCCCCAGAGCTACAATTTCAGCACTGTTCATGTTCACATGTCGTGGGATTTTGGGGTACTCCACCCAGCTCCCATTGCCTCAGGTGATTCATTCAGTTTCTTTTTCGATAAAATCAAAGCATACTCACATTTCTTTTGTTGTAGTTTCTTCTTATTTCGAATTTCAGAATTCACTAGATATTTTACATGATTAAAGAAGGCTGTTGTTAAAGGAATATATCAATTACTAAGTTCTAGTCTTTCAGATAACATCACTACGAAAAATGTATCAAAGTTTTCTCCATTTGATAGTACTTACTGCAATTCAAATAATTTTTTTTTCATGAAAATCAAAATATTATTCTAAAGTAAGTAGGATACCATGGATAGATTATCTATTTTGTCCTAAAAGTGTCAGATATTTTCATTCTAAGTCTTTGAAACTAAAAAAAAAAAAAAAAAAAAGTCTGGCAGGAAATGCAATCTATTGATTATGCAGGTCCTTTATGCATAACATGCAACTTAAATGTTAATAGTAACTTATGTCCGCTGTTTAAGTTCAGAAATTTAGATGAGATTTCTACAGTTTGAGAAAATCTTATACAGTGCTTGACACTTATAGAAAGAAGAGGAGATTCAGCAAAGAAAAACTCGTCTAGAATATTTTGCTTTTAATTGATTGTTTTATTTTATTTTGGTGGTGAAATAGGAGTTTTTGGGTTCTGGTGCGGACTTCCCTGTTGGAAACGTGTCTTTTTTCTTGTTTTTTTCGGGACACGTTGCAGGGTCAGTGATTGCTTCCTTAGACATGAGAAGGATGCAGAGGAGGGAACTGGCTTGGACTTTTGATGCGCTCAATGTTTTGCAAGCTGTGAGGTTGCTGGGTACCAGAGGCCATTACACTATTGATTTGGCCGTAGGGGTTGGTGCTGGAGTTCTTTTTGACTTTTTAGCTGGCAAGTACGAAGATAGCAAAAGGAAAGGTGCTCTCACCACAAAGTAGTATTTGATTTCATGAATAGTGTGTATAATGCTAAAAAGAATTTAACAAAAGGATCATGGAAAGTACACAAAAGGGTAACATTTGAGTGGTAAAAAAGAAAAGAGGGAGTATCATAATAGGTGTAGTCTTAATTACGTTGTACTGAGTCTGTTTTTTCTTAATGCTGTGAGTTGGAATTCTCTTTCTTGCCATGATCCAATGATTAAAAAAATTATGTTTTGATTCTTACATGAGATGTAAGATTGTTCACAGTAAAGCAAGTTGATTGTATTATCAAATCTAAGATTTTATTTATTTGATTAATGATAATTGGAAAACTTTGATTGTATTAAAGTTTGATTTGAATTTGAATATTGTGATTATTTGTATATGCAACTTTCCTTTTGTTTGACCAACAAAGTCAAATAGATCATAGATGGATAAACACGAATATAAGGCTGCTTTTGAATAATCCATAGGAGTGATGGAAAGCATGAATGAAATTTAAAAGAGTTTCTCACTTTAATATTTTTTTCATTCTAATTTATCTTCATCTGGCATATTGGAAAAGGAAGACACTGGTGCAACTTGTTTCCAAAGTCAAATTCTTATTTATTTATGTTGCAACTTATTGTGTCATGACATTTAATGTTTTCTTGCATAGGCAATGAATTACAAAAAATATTCAAGAATTAAGGGGAATAATACAACTATTTAATGACTAGTGAAACACTTGTTATATTTGAAATTTGAAAATAAAATAATTTGTTTTTATTTTTAAATATTTAGTGAGAGTATTATAAATTTTTTTATGAATATTTTAAGGTAGATTAAAATAATATATAAATCCTTTCTGTTTTTAATAATTTTTTTAGTTTGTCATATTTATAATTTTCTGCTTTGGTCCTTTGAATGTAGTACATGATATAATATTACATTATAAAATCACATTTATTTTCTTCTATTACAATCAATCCAACAAATTTTTTATTTATTTCAAGTTTATATGAATAAACAATTATGATATATATATATATATATATATATATATATATATAAAATTTAAAAAATATTTTTTATTATATATTTTATTTAATAACTCAATATTATAATTCACTTTAATTATTAAATTATAATAAAATCAACTATAAAAATGATAAATAAATATTTATTTTTCTTTTTATCATTTAATAAGTTAAACATATTTTTTATACAATTTCTTGTTTTTATTTATATCAAAATTAGAAATTAAATATTTATTTTAATTTTATTAGGTTTTGATTTTTTTTATCCTTTATTCTACATTATTTATAAAAAAATAATTATACTTATAATAAATTTATTTTTAAAATTTTTTACATAAATAAATATTTATAAATTTATAATAATAATAATTATTATCAATTAAGTATATATATATATATATATATATATATATAAGAAATACATGTAAAAAAATATTTTATATTTTTTTCTTAATATAAATATAAAATACTTATTATTATTATTATTATTATTATTATTATTATTATTATTATTATTATTATATATTATAAACTTATATTTAAATATTTTATTTGATTACATATATTTTAAATTTTTTTAAATTATTATTTTAAAATATTAATAAATATAAAATATATAATTTATAAAAAAATATTTAATAATAATATAAATAGTAAAAGGCTTAATTAATAATTTTTTAAATCCTTTAAAATATAATTGTTTTATTAAGATAAAATTTAATATATAATAAATAAAAATAATAAAATTTAAAAAATATAACATAATAAAATCTAATAATTAAAAATAAAGTAATATTAAATATTATTAAAAATTATATAAAATATTTTAAAAAAATAGAGAAATAATCCTATATGTACATAGGATGTAACGTTGATCTTCACAAGCAAACGAGACTAGCTCAAATTTCGATGTACTGCAGTAGAAAATGGTAAAGTCATGCCTACATCGCTCTGACATTGATCATTCTGAGTTTTTCTGGTTCGACTACTCCTATTAATCTCGCATTTCAAAAAAATCAAACTACTAAACTCTGAAACTTATGTGTTGATTAGGAACTTGAATGAATCTTTATTATCAAGTATGTAAATTGTAGTTTGGTAACATTATGTATACTTTTCTCAAACAAATTACACTTCTTCTGGGCTAAGAAAGAGAGAGAGAACATGTTTTATATTGACCAACTAAAGAGAGAAATAATGAAGCAAAACCATAGTTTTTACACTGCAAGGGACAGATATTGCCAATATTCAGTATAAGGAGTGAAATTTATATACAATATACACTATCTAAATGAATATTTATGCAAAGTATAATGCTATTCCTCAGATTCAGAATCCAAATCAATTGGACATGTTCCATCATCTACATTGGCTAGTGGGTTGTACAGGTGAGAACTAGGATCTGTACACCCTAAAACAAGATTCAGATCGCAGCGATCACCCTGCATGAATGTTTTCATTCATCATTAAGAATCTGAAAATGTTCCAAGGAGAAGCACTATTCTAAAGAGAAAAGACATTGAAGAATGGAAGAATGTACTCACCCCTTCTTTTGACAAATTACCAATCATAGCACATCTGGTTATAACTTTCTTTGTGTCTGGAAATATTGCCTGCTCACATGCTCCTTCTTGACCCAGTTCATCTGCCAAGCCCTACCACATCATAATTGTACACCCAACTCAGGGTCATGTTAACTAAAATGCTCAAAAATATTCAATTTCTTTTACAATTCAGGGTCTTGTGTTGTGATTCTGTCATGTAGAAACAATAGATAGTACTCATCCCTTCACCACTTGACTAATGTTTTCTTTTGGGGCCACATAATTATACTGTTGCCACCAACTTCTGTTTAGCATGAAAGAATTTATAATTTTAAGTCAAATCTGAGATTATCAAACTTGAATGGACCTTTAATTTACAGAAAGTGCATTATTCATTAGTCGTATTTCTTCAAAAGATAGATTGGGAGTCTCATCATAAAGCTCACATGACTTGAGTATTAAGCTAAAGGAAGTTGATTCAGAGAGAAAAGTTTTGCCACTTACCTTATTAAAGAACTCAATTGGCTTGTTCTTTAAAGCCTTGGGAACTTCAAATTGCAGTCTATATGGGCCATCCCAGTCTACTCCATTTGTAAATGAGAAGATCAAGTTCAGAGCTGCACAAAAAAGGGATGTAATCAAGAAAAATATTTAATGATTTTGTCTGCAAAATATACTTAGAAATAAGAGTACCATATTACCATGCTTAGGAATGCATATCTGAATGGTAAATAACGGGCCATCAGCTTTGCCTCGATTTCTTCTAAGCATAGCCCTTGGCTCACCACCACACATAATTGGCTGATTAAAACCTCCTGAATGGATGAAATGTTACTAGTCAGTTGAAAAAAAAAAAATGACTAAGAAAAGGAACTAGTATGACTTATAAACCTCCACAATCTAAGAAAACAGTATATTCAATTATTCATTTCAATTCTATATTAGGCAAATTACATTCTCAAACATATTCCTGATTATGGCCAATTGAAACTTCTTCAATAGCAGAAAAGGACAATGGAGGTATGATGGAATGGACCCTTTCTGAAGGCTCAAATAAAATTTCTATAAATTTTTTGTAAAATAGTTTCAATGACTCCAAACACAATGCTAAATTGCTAATTCTGAACAACAATGTGAAGCTTATACAACTTGTTCTTGCCACATTCTATCTTTGTTCATAATGAATCCAAAAAGTGCCTAGCAAATACTACGGAAAACGACATTTTTGGGCAACCAAGTGACATCACAAACATTACCATTAAAAGCAATTCCAAATTCTTCATTGGGGACAAGTTGAGTTGCTGCTGGATTATACAAAAGTTTTAGCTTTTCTCCCTGCCAAAATTTGTAAAATAGTTTACTAAAAGATAATTGATCAAGTATCTTGCAATGAGTTAACTGAAAAGATGACACTTACTGACGTTGGAGGGAAGCCATTCATTGTTTTCCAATGGACAGGAGCCCTCCCAATTTCAAACTGAGCCCATGAAGTAAGCTTGTACCTGTAAACATTGATAGTATCCAAAACTAACTTTTATTTGTATAACTTGAGCACCAACCATTCATTTTTAGTTTCCAATATGTATGATACTAAAATTGTGAAGTGAAAAAAGGCAAAAATAGTAAATGGTATTAAGAAGGGAATTCATACTCTTGAATTTCCTCAGTTGTTGTTGTTGTTGTTGTTACAGCAGCAACATTGATCTTTTTGCTAATTTTCATATGCTTTTTCTTCACAGGGTAACTTTTTGATAAGGACACATTGAGAAAAGGACTAGCTGCATGAGAAATGATAAGTGTTACATTTGATTGAAAGAGCATAGACTAATTTAGCTCTTCTTATATGCAAGGTAGTTCATACTCCTTTTCACAAACCATTATTGGTGCTTTGTAGTTACAAGATTCTTATGGATGATACTATGCCATACTGATAATGTTAAGATGAAAAATCCACAGTCTGAGTGGAGATAAATTTATCAAAAAATTCAGTAATAATGAATCATTTTATGAAAATCAAATGATTATAACAACCCAACAGCTACCTCTGTCCCACAAAATTGAGAAATAATTAAAGGAATTGTCAAAAGTCAGATCAGATAGTAAGGCTATTGGCGAGTATCTGTGAGAACAGAACATGTTTTAGCTTTATTAAAGTTCTGATGCAATTTCTATGTAATGATAATTTATGTGATTCCTACCAAGGTGGAGAAACATTCTTCTTGGACTTTTAGCCGCAGTCAAGAAAGATATAAATACACGAAAGTACCCACAATTAAAAAATATGCATATTCAAATCACATGGTCCTTTGCAGCAAAATCCTAAATGTTTCATACAACAAAATATGCCATAAATATGAAATGAACGCGTGTTAGAGAGACTAACAAAGCGTGTTTGAAATGGTAGGAGGCACATTCAAGCATGGTTGCGTGGGAGAAGCAAAGATTGAAGCATTAGTTGCAGCCATGTTTTGTGTCACAGTGTTTGGTGCCTCCTTGGTGTTGGATTGAAACAAGGCACTGAAGAGAAGAAACGTAGTGATATCTAATAGTTGAACATGTCCAAATTTATAATAGCCAAGAGATAACAAGAGATAAATGATATTTTTCTGTAAGAAAGTGGCGAGTGGCAAGTGGCATGACAGACACAACTCGAACCAAAGATTTTTTATAAGAAGATAATATTAGTCCAATTTGGTAGAGATTTTTTAAACACAAATAATAAGAAATGCTAATAAGCGCTCTTAGAAAAAAAAAATTCTAATTTTGTGTTCAAGGTTAAAATATTGGTTAGGTCAATCAAATTTTATTATACAATATTAAAAAATATTTTTATATAATGCGTTAATGAAATTGAGTTTTATTACTATCGAAGTAAAGAAAATATTTGTGTTATAAATACTAAACTAACATATATAATGGTATAAATAAAATAAATTGTGCATAGTAACAGTGAACAATAACATATACATGTGATATTACAATTTTCTTCTACTATTTTACAAGTTATAAAAGAAATAAATTTAACCCATGCATTTCACTCTAATAAAATTCTATGTCAGGATAAACTCATTTAAATTATTTAATAAGTGTTTTTCAAATAAAATTTAACTTTATAATATTTTTAATTTAACAGTTGGTTTGCTGTATCAAAGATAATTTAAAAAAAAATTATTATGCTTTTTTTATCTTTTTCAAGAGTTTTTCTTATTTATGGTAGAAAATCATTTATTATTTGTTTTTATATTGATTAGAAATATATCATCAAAGAGTACACACAAAAGACATTTGGTGAAAATATTAGCAATTTGATAGTGAGATGGAACATGAATGACACAAACTTCATCACAAGTAACTTTTTCACATACAAAGTGTATGTTCATCTCAATATGTTTTATGCGTTCATGTTGTACAAGATTACCCTATAGATAAATGACAATCACATTGTCACATTACACTAATATAACTTTTTGAATTGGATAATGAAACTCCAGAAGAAGGTTTTGAATCCAACAAGATTCATAAACAACATTAGCTACTCCTCTATATTCAACATCAACACTGGAATGAGATAATGTAGGTTATCGTTTTGACGATCAAGAAATCAAGCTTTTACCAAGGAAAACACAATACTCAGATGTAAATCGTTTAGTATCCAGACATCCACCCCCAATTTGCATTTGTGTAAGAGAGGAGGTTTCCAGTATTGGATTTGTACACATGCAAGCCAAAATCAATTGTACCCTGAATGTAAAGTAAAATACACTTGAAAGCATGCATGTGCTCCTCCTTGAGATCATGCATATAAAGATATACTTGTTACACCGCATAAGAAATGTCAGGTCGCGTAAAAGTGAGATATTACAATCCTCCAGCAAGACATTTATATTTAGTAGGATCCTCGTAGAGAATGTCATTACAAGCACCAAATTTGGGCTTTGTATCAACTGGTGTGGGACAAGTTTTACAATTAGTCATCCTTGTTCTTTCAAGAATTTCTTCTGCATATACTTTTTGTGAGAGAAATATATTGGTTGCATGACGGGTAACTGCAATCCCCAAAAAATAACTAAGTGAACCAATATCCTTCATAGCGAACTCGACACTCAAGAATAACATAATGAACTTTCTAAGAGAATCAGAGGAAGCCACTAGGCTGATATCATCAACATATAATAGAATATATGAAATATCATACTCCTTATAATATATGAATAAAGAGTGATCAAATTTACTATGTTTGAAACCAATTGTGGTCATATAATATGCAAACCATTGGTACCAAGCACGAGAGACTTACTTTAGGCCATAAAGTGATTTATTTAACAAGCAAACATGATCTGGATGAGAGGAATCCTTAAAACTCATGGGTTGATGCATATAAACGTTTTCATTTAGATTACCATGTAAAAATGCGTTTTTGACGTACAACTGATGAATGGATCATGATTAGGATAAAACAATGATTAAAACTGCTCGAATGGTCGTTGGTTTCACTATCAGGCTAAATGTTTCATCACAATCTACTCCATTCTTTGGGATATGTCATCACCTACAAGATAAACTTTATACCTCTTAAAAGAACCGTCAGAGTTGTGTTTATGTCTAAAAATTCACATAAATCGAATTATATTTATATTAAGGGGAAGTGGTACAAACTTCCATGTCTTGTTTTGAATTAAAGTATTATATTCATCAATCATAAAATTTTTCTAGTTTGGGTCATGAAGAGGACTCACCGAATTCTTAGGTAAAGTAGAAATAGAGGTGGTGGTCAAAACACTCAAATTATGAGTTTGGTTTAATTATGTCATGTTGAGTACGAGTGATCATGTGGTGATGTATGAGATTGATTATTGTGGACTGATGGGTTGAGATTTGAGAAAAGGGAGTAGTAATTGGTGAGGTTGAGAGTTGATGGGACCGATTGAGGAGAGAGTGAACCTGTATGTGTAAGAGAAAGTGTGAGTTGTGTTATTTGATTGTGTGGTACATAGGTTCGTAGGTGATAGATTAAGTGTGGAGAGGTGTCTTCACTTAAGGGGTCATATTCTCTTGGAGATGGATAATGTATTTTTGAGAAAGGAAATTGTATCTCACAAAAAGTTATATGATGTGAAATAATTATTATTTTTTGCTTGAAAGATCATAACACTTGTAACCTTGATTATTTAATGGGTAGCCTAGAAAAGCACACGGGGTGGACCTGACTTGCAACTTATTGATTATTGTATTTGGAAATAAGGGGTAGCAAAGACAACCAAAGACCCGAAGATGAAAAAATATTAGATTTTTATGATAGGGGATTAACATCAGGGAACAATATCCTATAACTTTGGTAGGGAAAATGTTTAGTAGATAAATGATCATTTGAAGAGCATGGTCCCAAAAAGAAAGTGGCATGAATGAGTGTATTAATAAGATGCGAATAATATTGTTAATGAATTAAATATATTGTTTAGTTTTGCCATTTTGAGGAGAGGTGTGAGGGAAAGATAACCTAAATTATATTCCACTTTGTTCACAAAATTCTTTAAACGAATAATTAGTAAATTCTTTTCCATTATCACATTGCAAATTTTTAATGTTTCTTTCAAATAGGGTTTTAATTAGATTTTGGAAAGATTGAAAAATGGAATAAATTTGTGATTTGTTAAAAATGGGAAAAATCCATAAAAATTTGCTAAAATCATCAAGAAATAATATGTAATATCGATGACTAAAAGAACTAGATATGGGTGATGTCCAAATATCACTGTGAATAATATCAAAGGAAAAATCAATAAAAGAACAAGAGACATTAAATGGTAATTTCACATGTTTACCAAGAGGACAAGAAGTGCAAAAATTATAGCTACCTTTATTACAATTTATGAAATTTTGATGATGAAGAGAATTTAGAATAGTAGCTCCGAGATGACATAAATTATCGTTCCACAAAGTGGAAGACAAATTTGTAAATATTGAAGGAAGTGTTGGTGGGAAGATTGTCTAATAGTTGGGACAGATGGGGTAAAGATTGTCTGATAGTTGGGACAAAGTTGTTATATCTCATTAGATGGTTTCCCGTGTGCAAATCTTTCACCAAAAATCCAAAAGGATCAAATTCAACAGAAACCATATTAACAATGGTAAATTTACGAACAAATATGAGATTTTTGATGAGTTTTAGTGCATGTAACACATTGTTTAGGTTTAAAGGAGGGTGAAGTGGGGATAGTGTAATGCTTCCATGATTACAATCAAATAATCATTATCAATAACAATATTGTGGTCTTTGTTCGAATCAAAATAAGATGAGAGTATACCTTGATCTGCCGTCAAATAAGAGGTAGCACTTGTGTCTATATACTAGTTCTCATTTGGTTGAGAGATTGCAAAAGTATATATGATCGCATTAATGTCCTAGGTGTGTCCCCAACATTAGATGATGCTACTGACGTGTTATAAGATTGTTATAGTGGTCGTAGTCCAAGAATACCGGCTTGGCGTGGAGGTCTAGGTTACCACAAGGTTACAGGATAAGAGCATGGAGGTTGGGCCCATTTAGTCCAAAGATTAAGGAAGGGATGCTGATGTGGTGGGAAGACTTGATACTGCAAGTATTGCAGCAGCTATGGTGCACCATTTTTTCCAACACCTGCACCTCCCCCCCCCCCCCACTGCCACGTCTGCCTCTGCCACCGTGGGTGTTGTTTCCTCTGCCTTAGTTGGTTTTCTTGTCGCGATTGGTATTATGACGACCCTGAAAATGATTGGTATTACTTTTATGTAGTTGCGGTAATGAATTGTAGCCTTTATCCATGATTAAGAATGCGGATGAACCAGATTTACGAATTACTTGCTCCTTAATCGTGATCTTTTCTAACTTTGATCGAAAATATGTTGTAGCAAAACTTGGTAAGTCATTTTTTTGTTGTATAACTGTGACAAAACAAACATATGTTTCGGTTAAGCCAGCGAGCAAATGAAACACTAAATGTTGATCTAAAACAAGAGCCCCAACATTGGATAATTGGTCAGCAAGAAATTTGAGTCAATTGCAATATGCGGTGGTTGTGGAGAAATCTTCTAAGTTTGTGTTCGTGAACAAAGTTTCAAGATATACTGTCCTAGTGTTTTTGTTATCTTGAAATAAGTCAGCTACACGCTGCCAAACTTTAACCGTCGAATCATCAACCACAATGATCAATGTGAGAATATCATAAATTTATAAATTCATTGGAGAATAACAATATCGAGATGATTTCATAGAAGGAGATCAACGACCTTGGCAATTTGGTATGTTATGACAACGATCTCCGTGAGATGATGATATGATCAAACACAAAATGAACTTTAGCTTAAACCTTAAATAAGGTTGCCCATGAATTATATTAATTGATTTTCATGTCCAAAACGATTAGAATAAGATGTTTCATGTTAGTGACAATTAGGAAAAAATAAAATTTGAAATTATAAGCATGGATGGACAATTATAAAAGAAATAAGGAAAAAAATGCTTTAAAGGAGAATAACCTAATTTAATACCATGTAAAAAAATCATAAGTGATTTTTCTTTCTATTAATTAAAAATATATACAAAATATAAGTTATAATTTAGATTATCATTGACAAACTAAACTTTATTTAGATAATTAATACTATAAAATATTCTTAAAATAATAATAACTTATTTTAAATAATAATATTTTATCATTCATTGACCATGCATAATTTTCACGTGATAAACATTGAACACAACTTTTTAGATACCACAGCATCTCCAAGCAAGTATCTAATAAGTACATCAACCAGTTAAAGTTGATGTTGAAATTTTTAAATAAAGTTTTACAAAAACGTGATTAATGAGATTATCAAACGCTTTTTAATTTGAGAGATTCGAAAATGTTGAATCTTATGGAAAGAAACTTAGACTAGTTCTCAAATTAACAAGAACCTAATGCTCTATCAGTAGTATTATAAGCAAGAGGTTATCTTTTAGATTTGAATTTATAAGCAAGAGGTTATCTTTTAGATTTGAATACTGAGAAGAAAAAACAAAGGTGTATTTTTTATCCGAGTAATGAACAAATCTGAACCTTGTTGGGCGAATCCCTTGAACCAATGTGATTCACAGGTCAACAGCTTCAGGGTAACAGCCTTATCCTCTCAAAATCACCCCCTCTTTGTTTCTTTCCACTTGCTTTAACTCTCTCTAGCCCACAATTCCATTCTATTCAAAACCCATTTTCCCAACACCGGCCACACCACAAGTGGTTAATGGTTTGGTTGGTCTTGGTCACTTGCACTTGCACTTGCACATCACAATCAAACTCACCACCTTAAAACCCAAGCCAAGTATCCCTCCAACACCACCTTCCACAAAACTCAACACAAACATTCAATTCGCTTCCCTCCACTCCATGGCTCTTATCACCTCCCAACCTAAAAACCCCATTTTCCATTGCTGCACCACCCTTCACCGCTCAATTCCTCGGTTGGATACTAGCACTGTCCTTGGTCTTGGCTCCATTAAAAACTTTAACTTTAACCAAAAGGAAACTAAAATTTCCCTTAAAAACAACCCCTTTACCTATAATTTGGCAGTGACAGCCAAAGCCAAGGCCAATGCAGCATCTGGAGAAGGTTTGGAGGCAGAGGAGGGGTCATTCAAACGCAGAAGGATTTTGTTGTCTGAAGTTGAGGTGAAGAGAGAGAGGAGTGTTTTTTTTGGGAGGAAATGGAACTCTCTGGATGTTGGCACTGCTGGAATTATATTGGCCATGCATGTGCTTTGCCTCTTTGCTCCATTCCATTTCAATTTGCCAGCTTTTTGGGTGGCTTTGGCTCTCTATGTTGTCACTGGCCTCTTTGGCATCACTCTTTCTTTCCACAGGAACCTTTCTCACAGGAGTTTCAAGCTTCCCAAATGGCTTGAATATTTCTTTGCCTATTGTGGGGCTCTGGCACTTCAGGTGGATTTTGTTTCTTCAAAACCTTTCCATTCTTCTTCTTGTGTCTCTTTCTTCATGCTTTGGTTTTTGGTTTTGATGTGATGATATAGGGGAACCCAATTGATTGGGTGAGCACACATAGATACCATCACCAGTATTGTGATTCTGAGAGAGACCCTCATAGCCCCACTGAAGGGTTCTGGTTCAGCCATATGATTTGGCTCTTTGATTCCAATTCTATCATAGGAAGGGTATGTAGATACCATATGAATGATCTATCTCTACCTCTCTTCTGAAGAGGCACACAACCTTAATTATTGCATTTGCAAATTTATTATGGGATATGTCATGTATGTGCAGTGTGGAGAGCCAAACAATGTTGGTGATTTAGAGAAACAACCTTTTTATAGATTTCTCCGAAGCACTTACCTTGTCCATCCTTTTGCTTTGGGAGCCCTTCTATATGCAGCAGGAGGATTTCCTTTCCTTGTTTGGGGAATGGTACCAAAAGTTTCTTTCTTTTTACTTTTACTCTAAAAAGGATGTTCGTACTTTTGCTGAATTGATTCATTGGTTAAGTAGAACTCATAACAGAACAAAGAAAATTGAGGACCATTTGGCAGACTCTTTCAGTTACACCTTTCTTTGATAAACGCAGGGAGTGAGGAGTGTTTGGGTTTATCACATAACCTGGTTTGTAAACTCAGCATGTCATGTCTGGGGGAATCAGGCTTGGAATACCAGAGACTTATCCAGAAATAATTGGTATTTTTTTTTTATTTTCTATCTTTAACTTTTCATAGTTTGATGATTGGTTTGAGTTCACGCCTTGTTCTTATACATAACCTAAAATTTGTTAGGTGGGTGGCGTTGCTTGCATTTGGTGAAGGTTGGCACAATAACCACCATGCTTTTGAGTATTCAGCTAGACATGGACTAGAGTGGTGGCAACTAGACATGACTTGGTACGTTGTGAGATTTCTCCAAGCTATTGGGTTGGCCACTGAAATCAAGTTACCCACCGAGAGTCAGAAGCAGAGAATGGCATTCAACAGTGATATTATAACCACATGAAACACATTTTATTGTTCTTGACCAAGGTTAAAAAAGGGGGTTGGAAATAATAGCAAAACGAAAGAAAATAATTATGTAAGTACTTGTTGATGTCACAAAGGTTTTGGTTTTGGTAGGGTGATATTATTCTCCTGGATCTTACTTTCAGCCTTCATGGAAACGAATGCTGGATTTGACCATGCATATGGGACTGCAAAATTTTTACTAATGATTGATACAGAAGAATATTTAATCACTATCCTTGTCACCTTCCTCATCCTCCTTTATCATCTGATTATATCCATGTCACTTTGGAGCAATTTCTTTCTTTCTTATGCTTCCCTGTTCATACCAAGGTAACTAACTGGCTCCACAGTACTCCCACTTTGGTGGAAAGCAAGTGGATCTCCATTGTATAGTAATAACACAAACTGTGAGGCTCTGAAGCCAAACTCAGTCATAACTTCATTAAAGACTAAGTGTGTTTCTTTTGCGTTAGCATGACTTTTCAAGCATGTAAACCTAGAAGCAATAGTACAATATCTCAATGCATTTCCAAACACAAATGTGAAAGTTTAATGGTATTGGTCCCACCACATTTCAAGGCTGTGAAACATTGTACACCAGAATCACATGTTATTATTCTTTGCTAAAATAAGGGTGATCACCGCATTGTGCCTACCATGTTCATTTCGTTTTTATTATATGCTGAAAAGTGCTCAATAGTCATGGCATGAAAAATGTACCCCTTTTAATCAATACTTGCACACATGTTTTGCTTCTAGTTTTTATGCACCGTCCATATTGTTTTTTTTTTTTTTTTTACTTCACCGACCAGTTAATATTCATTGTTGAATTATTAAACCAATACATTTTTGTCAAAATTTAGAAATATTTAACTAATTTAATTAACTTCAATAAATTATTTTACTCAGGGAGTTTTGTCAAAATGCTATCTTTCCATTTACTTTTTTATAAAACTAAATACAGGTCATTTTATCATTTTTTTTTTCAAAATATTATCATTTAATATAACCAATCTCAACTTGTTTAGTTATCTACAACTTATATTCATAACAATAATAAAGAGATACCTTTTTGGTTTACAATGCTTTTTTAGACTAATTTATCCACCAACTGACTCTATAAAGATATTTTATTAGTTTTCGCCCTCTCCTTATAAGTTTAATGGTCTATCTCTCTCTTGGGCCGCAAAATTAAGTTGAAGAAAATTCATTTGGACTTATGAGACCGGGCTTTTGGGCCAAGGCCAGTCGGATCTGTAAAATTTATTTATTACATTCTTCCTATCACCTTATACTTTTTTTTTACATTTTATATTTATCTAAAAATATAATATTATTCTTAATATAAATATATTTTATAATCATAAAAAAGGTTTTCAGATCGAAAACTTAAATTATATATAAAAAATAATTTTAAAAATTTAGTGATCTGAAGATAAAATTATATTTCAGATGTTAAAATACAGAATTTAAAAGAAAATTATATATTTTTAAATTTATTCAGTTACATTTTTTTAATTTAAATATTATAAAATTATTATTATCTTCTCAAATAAATATGAACGGGAAGGAAGAGAGAAGAAGGTGTGAAATTATTTTCCAATGGGCTGATCCAATGCTCATGACAGGTTTCTATAACAATGTTTTATAAAGAATTGAGATAATTTTTTAGCATATTCGAACCTAAAACTAAAATTATTAAAATTTATTATTAATTACAAAGTAAATAATTATCATTATATAGTTTTTTGGTTTTGATTTATTTTATTATTAATTAAATAACGCTAGACTTAAATTAAATAATAACTTAAAATATCATTACAAAATTATTGTAATGATGATTTTCGTAACTTATTTTATAACTTATCATATTATAATCAAATATTAGTTATATTATAAAAAAAATATTTTATCACATGTGTGTTCATATTATCAAATATATATTTGGTAGGAAAAAAAATAAAAACAGATGAATGAGAAAAGAAAAGAAATAAAAATATCATGAAAACATAATCCCTTGATTGAAAGAAATAGATTGGAAATATAATAAATAACGATAAAGGACAAATAAACCAATTTTTTATTATTATATTATTGGTATTATTTTTTATTATAAATATTTTTCTTTTATTGTTATTATTAAGAATGAAGGAAGGGGCTTATGACCTAAATTTTATTGCTGTTATTTTTATTTTTCTAAATGTTTATACTATCAACCGTTATACTTAATATTTTTAATTTTATTATTTTTATTGTGTCTGATGAACTAAATTTGAATATACATATTGATTATTTATTGTTTCTGGAGTGTAGGTGGCTCTGAAAGTTCTCACATTCTTAAAACCCTAAGAATATCGAGCATTGAAGCCACCAAAATTTCATGATTACCTTTATAACATGATCAGAATACCTTAATGAGCTCATGGGTGTGCCAATTATATGAAAATGAAGAGCATGATTTCAGCTTTTGTCTTGTATGGAACAAGAACAGAAGAAGAACACTGATATTGGTGTCATTTGGAATTTCGAAGCTATAAAGTGAATGAAAATAATAATCATATGTTACAGTCCAAAACCATTGTTTGCAGAAATTGAATATTAGGGTTTTATATACCACTTGCTATGAATAGCTTATAGACCATGATCAACTACTTTAATCCAAACATTGGTATCTTCACCTGTAAAATTGTTAAATCAGAACCTGGTTACCACAACACAAAGCATGCTTCCTTTACTTTCAAATAAATATTATTTTCGTCCTAAAAATTTGTGATTTAAGATTTGTTTATGCAAATTAAAAATAACAATATTTAGACTATTTATTAAAATAATTTTACTTTCTTAATAAAGTAATTTAGCTTTTTTTAAAAAGTTAAAACTATAACATTTTTTATCTTGAAACGGAAATCAAACTACTTTGTGGCTATAGTGATCCATATAGTACAATGACAATATTTTTACACAAAGTGTAACTTATTCATATGGTAACTTTTTTATTTTCTTTTTCTTAATTTTTACCTTCGTTTGCACTAAAAAGAAACAGTGATGTTTATTTTTATTAATGTTTCTTAATAGTTATAAAGAGAATGATATTATTGTTTAAATATTTTATAATAATAATAATAATAATATATAATATAAAAATGATTGTTATATTATGAAAAAAAGATCGTGATTGTATACGAAAAGTTTGATGGTAAAATATCATTATTCTACCTGCAAATGTTAACTGGATTGTTGGATGGGGAACCCCATCACCAATGAGAATGGAATTGAAAAGTGTTGTTCTCATGGTCCATTAGAAATTGCTTGAATTTGTGCTTGTGAAAGTCACTACTTACTGCTACTACAGACAAAAACCCTAGTTACCCATAATGCACCACGTGGCCACCATGGACTAAACTTTGCAGAACCCCACCTGCACTGCACAGTGAACACGTATGAGCCATGCCAGCCTTGTTCAACGGGCGTTACTACCTCCTTCATACTTCAATTCTCTCTGTTCTATTCTTAGTCCATGCCCTGATTTCGATGCACCATCACCCTCACTCACTCTCGCAACAACCCTTTTCCTTTTTCTTTTCATTCACCTCGGGAAAGTGGAAGAAATGTTTCAAAAATACACCGGAAAGGTGCACCCTCTTCAAACATCTTAAAGCCTCTGTCTTGTCACCACCCCAAAAATTTCCAGAAACAAAAAAAGCAGGTCCACGCTGATATCAACATCTTTTTTCAGACAGACTCCATGGGTTACCGCCACTCATACACGGTTTCAACTTTCAACTCTAGCTCTATATGTATCATGTCATGTCAATTATACATGTTATGCATACACACCTGCATACACTTTTCGTATAATTTTTTATTATGCAGATTTAATTAATTAGAGGTGTGTGAATTAAAACTGAGGCGTGTTCATTAGTGGAATATGGTGGCAGGAGGAGAGTGGTGGTGACTGACAGGTTACCGGCTGCAGGTGGTGTCGGGTGGGAAGAGAGGCTGCAAAGGCGCAGCATTTTGCAGAAGACAGGCGCATGCCAAGTGACCGGTTACGGGGACAACAGGTTGGTACCATTGCTATACTTCCAACACAATCCAATGCAAAACTTGCACTTGCACTTGCAGTGAGGGTTTGTAGGATGGTCCGGGAGATAACACACATTCACCTCGATAACCTAAACCCCTGCACGCCCCTACCCCATTTTCTCTGCATTTTAATCAACTTTGTTGATTTCAAAACCGTTTTTCTTTACAGAAAATATTAAAAGAATTATTAAACTTTATCTATAAAGTACTTAAACAGTAAATATCTTTTTTAAAAATTAAGTCTTTATGATTTTTATAAACAAAACAACGCTATTCTCGTGAAAATTATTAATGAGGCATTTAAAGTTTTATGAAATTGCGTTAATAAAAGATTAAAAAGAGTGGTGATATTTTCACAATCAAAATCCATATAATCCTTATAAATAATTCACTTTTATTAATATAATAAATTATAAACGGATTTAATATAAATAAAAATAAAATAAAATTATTATTATAATATTAAAATAGAGTTTTGTATGAATTTGGGTTGTAAAAGAATCATTTTTCATTAAAAAATTATGTTATTTATTGTATACAGTTAGAAATATTAAATTCATTAAGTTTCATTTTATGTTAAACTATTCAAAGATAAAGTTATTTTATATTTTAACTCAGGCTTAGTAAAGAAGCATTTAAGGGAGAGTGAAGAAGACTAGTTAATGTGGTCCAAGTGGAACATGTAAAACAGGTGGAACAAAAAAACTGAAAGCCCTATAAACCCCACAAGAAAAAAAGAAAGGAGATGGAAGAGTTTTGAGTTTGAGTTTATTATATATATCCATCCATCACACAACTATACTGCACAAGCAGGGTTGGGTGTACCATTAAGGGCCATTCTCAAACAATTTGATAATTCAGTGAATTGATAGACTCAGCCAAAACGGGTCTGCCACTGTGGATGCTTGGTTTGGGTGCCGACCTCTTGTGGGCCGACATGAACCGCCTCCTTGCCTTCCTCTTCCACCAGGTATCATTATCATACAGTCCAATCCAATCCTCTTCATTTCACTATTCATTCATTGTTCTTGATATCTCATCTTACACACACATATGAATGTAGCAATTCTTTACATGCAGTATTTGGCAAAACATGCATGGTGAATGTCTATATATGCTGCTTTATTTTTCTTGTTATTCTTTGACCAGGGAGTTTTGGATGAGCAATTCTTGCAGCTTCAGCAGCTGCAGGATGAGACCTCCCCAAACTTCGTATCCGAGGTTGTCAACATTTATTTCCATGAATCGGAAAAGCTTCTCACCAATCTCAGAGCTTTGCTGTAACGGATCTTCTTCTCTTCCTATGTTTTTCTTCATTTGTTAGCATTTTCCATTCTTTTCTCCGTGTGTAGTTCTCAGCTTCTATATATGAATATTATTATGTTATATTAGTGTGCTACGTTGCTATTGGTACTGGACTACTGGTGTATATTGATTGCAGCTATAGCTATTATTATATATCACCAGTTGATTAATGATGATGGGTTTGGTTTGGTGGTTTGGTGAATGATGGTACAATAATGAATGTAAGGAGTGATACCACTGTGAATGGATGCAGGATGGAGAGGGAGTTTTCGGACTATAAGAAAATGGGGAATCATTTGAATCAGTTCATAGGAAGCAGCTCCAGCATTGGTGCCAAGAGAGTTAGAAACGTTTGCGTTGCCTTTCGTGCTGCTACTGACCAGAATAACCGTGCTGGGTGGGTGCCATTGCCAAACTATCATACTATCACTATTCCCTCTGATTTCGTGCATCTTTTTTCACTCCCTAACCCTCAATCGCCACTACCCTTTTTCCATTTCTCCTAATCATTTCACACTTTATCCATTTATTGCAATATTCTCCTTTTTGCAAATGTGTATGTTCTCACTTTCTAATACTTTGGAACATATAATAATACTGCTACAACTGTGTCATTGGAATGGCTGGCTCCATCATATTTCTATTCACCTAGGCTATGAGCACTTTTGTAACTATGTAGGAGCACAACAATGATATTTAAGTAGCACTGTGTTTATATTTTTGTTCCCATTTGTGAATAGTTATTGCCAACTCTAACAAACCACTATTGTTTATTCGTTTTACCTGGTTGCAGTTGCTTGCGAGCGTTGGAGATGCTGGAGCATGAGTACTGCTATCTCAAGAACAAATTGCACGAATTGTTCCAAGTAAAGTTGCACTGTACCATATGTCTATATCCTGAGCTTTATTAAATTCTTACTGATTTTGCTATACGGTGTAATAAAGAACAAAAGATACCAGTAAAAAAGAACATTAAATGCATATCTTAAGTATTTTCAGGATAGTTGCTAGTACCATTATATATGCATTATGAGACCATAACCACGTTTATTATTTGGTAATGAACAGATTGAGCAGCAACGTGCTTTGGCTGCAGGAGTTAGGTACCCAGTGCAGAATTAATAAAGAAAGGGAAAGAAATTATGATGATGATAAAATATTTGTATTTGTAGGATTTTTTTGTTGCTATTTTGCTTTTGTGTTCCTTTCTTTCTGGTTTGGTAAGGCTAAGGGTTGGTCTTTCCGGTTTTAGCCAAACCAAACGATGCGCAGGTTTTGTACTTTGTTGTGTAGGGAATAGAAAAAAGGGATCACCGACTCTGGTGTTTTGGATTCTCTACTGTACGTAGTGCCATCATCCTCTTCGCTGTAACCCTGTTCACTTTTTCACCCAAACTCCATCAAATCTATTCAAAGTTGCTTCTGTTCGATTTTTACTATTCCTAGAAACTATCTCCTCTTTATTCTACCTACACTCCACACAAATAACGATTGGAATGAAAAGGGTTCCGTAAGAAATGGACGGAACCAAACAAAACACCACGAAATCGAGCACCAAAAACATTGTATTCAACCAAAACAATATATTCATTGATACATAAGTGATGGTAAAAATGAGAGAGACATGTGAATTTTGAGTCTTCTTGTTAAGAATAACTTGGTTTTTTTATGACTAATTCAGTCTGTTCAGAATACTAACAATTAAGAGTAGAAAAATAGTTTAAAATGCATTACTTTTCAATACATCTTTGCAACTTTTGTACGTAAAGTAAAAGTAATTTTAGTACTTTTTACCATTTTCGTGATGAAAATGAATGAAAACCCAAACAAAAGACAAAAGAGAAATGAAGGGAGATGTATAAAGAATCATGACTTTTCTTGTTCAGTATCATGGGTCATGAGACTGATTCGAATTGAAGGACAAACGAACTTCATATCAACCAATGATTTTCCCTCGCATATCAAACACTTTTGAAAATATGAATTTATGTTGATGTGACATTGACCACGGTTTCGATATAAAAATATCGGTGACGATGATTTGAAAATTTTGGACCACGTTTTATATTAATTGTCTTCGTAATTACTGTAAAAAGTAGATGCTACCATGATTTTATTGTTTATATTGATCACAAAGACCAATGCAATCTTAGGTTGCAAATTGTTTTCACCTTTTCTCTATCAACTTGGCCAAATGCTAACAATAACAGATATAGAAACCCTTTGTTCTAGTACTGAAATAAAGCCTACTTTCATAGCTTGACTTTTATGTTTTGTGAACTTTGACCAAAAAAAGTATTCAAATTCAAAAGGATACAGGCTCCACAATTTGTGAGGGATAAGAGAGAAGGGTACATATGTTATATGAAACTGTTTTTGTATATTTAAAAGTTATATTACTTAAAATTTGAATATAAGATAATATATATAAATTTTCCTATTTTAATAATACGCATGTATATCTTTTTAGAATAATATTCTGAGAGAATGAGTTCAAGCTTCAACACAAAAACACATAATCATTAAATATACTAAGACATGTTATTTTAGAATCTTTGAAATCAAAACACTATTATTTCAACCACTTAGTTATTGACTAAGGAAAAAATCTATCATTGTTTACTAGTTGTGACCAAAATAATTTATAACCTTATTTTCTTAATTCATCAATGGTTTTTTTATAAAAAAAATTATAAAATCACGAATTCCAAAATTAACAATGTCTCAAATGTGTGGTGATTAATTATAGTTATGCCTCTTTATAAAAAGAAAATACTTAATAAATGTTCATAGGAACATGTTATTTGCATAATAACTTTTATACCATTTTAAAAAAAATTGGAAGTACCAATTCAATAAATGATGTGCCGAAAGAATAGACAAAAATAATGTGATGTAATTTTTTCTATAAGTTATTAAATGAATAATACATCTACAACATAAAACCCTAAAATATCAAATCCAAAATGTAGTCCATAATCCTATTTTGAACAGGACCAATACAGAACTTTGGTCACACCAGAGATAAAAAACAAAAACCGAAGCTAGGACTTGTTTTCTTTCTTTCTCTGGCTCTTAAGAGAGGTTAAAGTATAGTAACCAAACAAATAAGGCAAGTTCTGCTTCAAACTCAATAGGTTTCAAGTTCAACTTGCAGTGCATTGCATTGCATCGTAATTTGACACTTCCCCAAAGCTCCTTTCCCTTCATTCTACCAAACAACTCGACAATCTCACTCTGCAACAGAATCTAATGCATGCATGTAGGAGGGTCAAAAGTTCAACAAAGCCACTGCACTGTGTCTCTCTGTGAGTACATCTGCAGATATTCAAAATTTAAACAAAACATGGTCTAGCTAAAAAGCTAGCTTCATATACATATTTGCCACGTTATGTGTATGAGCTTGGTGTGTAAAGAGTGAGTCTTCTCGTTTTCAGTAGCAGCTACAACCCACATGAAATGACATGAGATATTTGACAAAGAATTCAGTGGGGTCAGTGAACGGAACACTGATTGAACTTTGATGGATGGATGGATGGACATGGATGCTGTTAGTCAAATTGTTGACCCAAAATGTAGAACGAAATATTGAAGTTAGAGAGCGTAGAGAGAGACTATTTCTGGCTATGATAGTACTGGGGATCTGCATGCAAACACAGCGTGTAGTCTTGTTGGAATATATATATATATATATATATATATATATATATATATATATATATGAGATACGTGTGTGTATTTGTGTGTTTTATGCGATATTCTTAAAGGGAAAATTTACACGTTACCTAGTTTCATCATATTTTAATTATTTAAATATCAACATATTTTTGAAGTTTTCAAAATATCATGGTTGGAAATTAAATGTGAGTCAAGCAGTGATAAAAATGAGAAAATAGAATAATACATAAGTAAAAAATGCCAAAACTTATATATTGATACACATCAGTTTATTTGAATTAATTTAAAAAATAGAAAGTCATTATATATATTTCACTTTTCAATTGAAAATTACACTCTTTCACTTTTAATTTAAGATGCAGAACCCTTCTATTCCATTCAATTCAATATACGTAATTGATTATAGTTTATTCTCCAATAAATTATGTATATATATTTTTTAATTATAATAAATAATATTAAAAATAATAGATAAAATTATTTACTTTATATTGATTTTTTTGGATATTGCTTGATTTATATTTTTTGGTTAACAAATTTTTATTTAATAACTCATAAATATATGATTGAAATTTTAATAATTTTAATAAGTTCTAATTAATATATATATATATATATATATATATATATATATATATATAGAATAAGTTATAAATTTATTTTTGGATTAAAATCATTTTAAATTTAAAATATGTTATTAGTGTTTTAATTTTAATAATTTTATTTCAGATAATATGTGAAATATAAATGTCTACATTTTGTATTAATTATTTAAAAATTATTTAAGATTATTATTAAAAACAATTGTTTCATAATTAATAACTTTTAATTTTGAATTCGTGTTATTTTTATTAAATTTTAATAATTCATTAAATTAACCAATCAATATCTTTTTATTCTTTCAAATTAATTATATGTACTTATTTTTTTCCTCTTTACTTATTTTTTTAATTTAAACAATCTATTTTTTTTATTTAGTTTTCTTAGGCTTTCAAATTCACTCATAGCTCTAACAAAATAATTCAATCTATTGATAAATTTATTTCCATGTTCATTTCTTAATTATCCAACAATTAATATAAAAAACCATCACGACAGTTATAATCTTATAGCTTTTGATTTCGATTGAATATATGAAATGTGTAGTATCTTCTTCATGTAACTTCTTACAATTGTTCACCATTTTTTGCTACCATTTCATCATCACTCACACCATCAACACATCCACCACAGGATTGGAACCTGTGCTAGGTTGGAATTGTTAATTAACAATTACCAAGTAGACACATTAGTTGGTGGCACTTAAGTGCATCTTTTACAACAAGAATGAATAAAGCTTGTCACACTTTTTTCAATTTAATTTTAAATACATTTTAAATCATTAGCTATATTTAAAATTAAATATAAAAATATATTTAAAAAATAGAAATTGTAAATTATATTATATTATCATTAAAGTTACAGTTTTAAAAATATTATTTAATTATTTTATAATTTAAATGATTTAACATTTTGAATAATTAATTTATATTTAGTAAAATTTAATATATATATATATATATATATATATATATATATATTTATTGATCCGATTCAGATAGATTAATATACTATAAAATTATATATAATTTAAATATAAATCTTATTTAAAATTATAAAATTAGATTAAATCCGTATTCATTTCTAATAAAAAAAACACTATCTGGTATGAAAACAATAAAATATTAATAATGATAAAAAATTTAAAATTTCACTAATTTATATTAAAAGCCATCATTATTATCAAGTAAACAATTACGTCAATTTTAAAAAAGTAAATTTGTTTAGTCTTAATCTGTATACCTATTTTCATCACGATGATGGTTAAGTTGAAAATCAATTAGAGTGTTGTTATTATTATTAAAGTTCTAATATCCAATAAAGTTAATAATTTTAAATTTTTTATTTAATTTCTAAATAATAACATAAATATTTAAGATAATTGTTCCACTTATAAACAAAATAGAGCGGGAGAGGGTAACATAGACACGCTAGCAAACTAATTTAACACTTTTTTTATTACATATTTATCCTTACACTTTTGGACAAGCCTCCTTAATTAACTTCTATAATTCTTATTAATTTGTTCTCTTCTCATAATTATAAAATATTAGTTATTTTAAAAAATTTATTATAAATGGTAAATACTTTAAAATAAATTAAAATACTCTAATTATATTTTATGAGATGAAAAAAATACGTATTAAAGTGACCTTGAAGTGAAGGAATAAATAAAAAAAAAACATGTAAGGATGACTTAAAATTGTAGATAGTGGAGCAAGATAAATATTTTTTTTTATAAATGAAATTATATTATTAACACATGCTATGAATATAAGTAACGGTAATTAAATTTAGGGGGAAATATATAGTTAAACCAACGTGTTAAATTACATAAGCGCATTTAATTGCGAATAATTTCAATGCATGTATTTTAATGTGATAATATTCACTTATTTTTTAGGATAATATCACTCAACTAGATAAGTACTAATGTATATTTTTAAAACGGGTTATATAAAGGGATTTGTAATAAATTTGAACTATAATAGTTAAATTTATAAGTTATTACATTAATTTTTCATTATATTTCTATAGTTATAATGGGCTATATAAGCTACCAAAACTCTATTCTATATATTATTATTATACTTCATTATTTAAAATTCAATTCTCCATTTTAAAGGTAAGCACCTCGTGTAATAATTGTTAATTAAATTAACAGTAGGAATTTTTTTATTAGAAAGTTATCATATAGCAAACTTAATGATACGAACACTTGAAATTGTAAGCATAAGATTTTATATTGGTCAAATTTTTAATACATTCCTCACCTTAAGAATTCAAACGATTCTCAAAATATAGGTCACTATATTAATGATTTAGGTGTTTTTTAACACATTTTCTTTCGTATCGAGAATAGTTTAATAATATGTTAGTATAAAAATTCTAAGAAGTTTTTTATATCATATTAAAAAATAAATATAAATTTAACTTGATATACATCATTGATTTATTTGTAATATATATAATACATGTTATTCCTTATTCATATTTGTAATATTAAATATGTAATTATAATTTTAGTTTAAAATTTGTAAAGTGAAACACTCGTTCTAAACGAGTGGAATTCCTATTAATGTGATAACCTAATGATAAAGGTGATTTTTAGGTTAATATTATTTTCACCTCCATCATAAAACAAGTGTTTTCTCAAGTGGAAAAAAGAGTTAATGACAGTATTTATCATTAATGTAGATTCTATTCTATTAAGTCACGTACCTAAGGTTAAGATAATCATCAATTTTGGTGAAGTTAGGACATTAATTAAACTTGTCCAAACTTCTCCTACTTACTTACCAAAAAAGTATTATCTATTTGGTCCAAATAGTTAACTAACTTAGTTAAGTAAATTTAAACACTTACATTTTCATTACAAACACAACCACTGTTTGGTAACACAAAACAAAAGCCACAAATGAGTTTCATTTTGTCTCTTTTTTCATTATTTTTTCTTTAAAAGAACTACCTACGAAAATTCTTTTGCTTCAATCTAATCTCCATTTAATATATACATATATCTACAGAAATAACGATAGCAATAGTATTGTAAATTTCAATGAACTATAATAAATAACTAAATGTATTAAAATGACATATTAAAGTTTATTTTTGAATAAAAAGATAACAAAATTTCAGAATTAGTAAAATTGATACTGAATTTGTTTGAAGCTTCTGCACAAATATTAATCGAACAAAATAAAAGGCCAGTGTAACCTTACGAATGACATACATATTTCACATTGTTGAATTATTACATAGTTTTTATTTTTACCTTGCGAATGGTTTTTTAGTTTTCCATGTGTTGTTGAATTTTACAATACATTGTAAATTTTTCTCTGCGTGATGATTCAGTTATTGGTGATTTATGGTATTTTAAAATTTCAGTATAATGTGATTTGAATAAGAAAATACTTATAAGTCTATTGCTGACAAATTACTAAAAGTAATTAATCTACTCGTTTACGTTCAAATTTTCTAACTTCTAAACGTTTCTTCTATTTATCTTTATCATTTATTACTAGTTCTAAACCTGTCTTTTATTTATTTTCCTCATTTATTACTAGGACATATTAACTAATATTGCTTTTAATTATTTTTTAGAGTAATTAAAATAGATTTAATTAGAGTACACCGACAACATATTTTATAGAAAAACTAACATCATAGAAAAGCTTTCTTTAAACCGTCACGTCAAAAGCAAAGGAAGATATAATATCTTAACACCTTTATGCGAAGCAGAAAAGAATTGAAGCATAAACATCAATAAGAGAATTACAAGTGAGTAGAAAATTTATACAATTATAAATAAACATGTGCGTAATAGACGCATACAATTCCAGTATAATAAACATGTCCATAAAAATAATGGCACACGTGCTCACAATTTATTTTATTTAAAGAATAATTTTTACAATTATCTTTTAAGTAATATAATAAATGTTTCTTAAAGGAGTATTTTAGGATTTTATGTCTGTTTGTCCTAATTTTTAAGTGACGTATGATTTTTAAATATATTAAATATAACTTTTTATTTTTTTGAGATGTTATTTATTTTAGAATTTTTGTGCATAATTTTATCTTTAAAAAATATTTTAATAAATTAAAAAATATATATATTTATACTATGTTTGACCTCAAACTCCTATAAGACAAATAAGTATACACAACAATAAATATATATGATTATAAGTAATTACAATTATTATTTAATCCTACAGTTAATGGTTATTTTCTTAACGATTATTGTTTTATATCTTAATCAATGGGCTTGAGATTACGATTAACAAAATGTGAGATGAGTTATAATTAATAGTGGAAAACATATGCAATAAGCATGGGATGAGTTACGTGGAAAATCAGTAAATATCTACATGGTTCCACAGAACCTTAATATTTTTGTTGTCCACGAATAAAATACCAACCTAATAATAGCTGCGAATACCTTATAAGCAGAAGTAGTAGTACTACTTACAAGAAAAAACAAAAAAGTAAAAACAAACACATCGATGGCGATGATCTATGATTCATTGGTACCTTTCCTTTTCCAACGCAACTCGTTTGTGCTCTCCTACCGTGCATAAGATGTCAAAATGTGAAGGAACACGCACTTCATTAACTCACCTTCTCCACTCTTTACTCTCTCTCTCTCTCTCTCTCTATATATATATATATATATATATATATATATATATATATATATATATATATATATATATATATATATATATATATATATATATCCATCGCAAGATTCCATTTTTTCGACTCAACACGCATTCTCTTGGGAAAGAAGAATGAGAGAGGAGTTGGTGGTGCAAGAAGGGTACGTTGGGAATGAAGAGAGGCTCCTTACAGTGCTTAAAACCTCTCTCTTCTTCAATGGTGATGGCTTCGCTGTCTACGATTCCAAGGGCCAACTCGTTTTCCGCTTTGACTCATATGGTCCTCGCGCGCGTGACAAGGACGAGCTTGTTCTCATGGATCCCAATGGCCGTTCTCTTCTCACTCTTCGCCGAAAGGTACAACTTCCTCTATCTTTTCAATTCAAGATCGCCAATTTAACTATCCTCTTTCTTTCTCACTTTTCTATTCTCTTATGGGCCATTGATTTTGTGCGGCAGAAACCGAGTCTTCATCAGCGGTGGGAAGGATTCAGAGGAGAGAGAAGGGACGGGGATAAACCCGTTTTCAGCGTGAAGAGATCGTCGATCATCGGACGGGCGCGGACGAGCGTGGCGGTGGAGGTGTACGATAAGGCAGGTGTGGAGTACCTGATCGAAGGGTGTTTCCCGCAGCGGTGGTGCAAGGTTTTGAATGCGGGGAAGGAAGCAGTGGCTGAGATTCGCCGGAAGGTGGACCCGACCACCAGTGTTATGCTGGGGAAGGAAGTGTTTTGGCTTTGCGTGAAGCCTGGTTTTGATTCGGCCTTTGCCATGGGGTTGGTCCTGGCGCTTGATCAGATGAACGGTGAGGATTACTTTGATGATAGAATAGTGGAGGCCGTGGTGCAACCTGCCGCAGAAGATCCGGAAATAGTTTCACCGGTTCCAGTTTGAGAATTGCGTCTTTTGTGATGCTGACGTTTTACTCACTCATCGTTGGAGTGTTCCCTCTGAAAGGGGGGTTTTCTCTCTGCCTTGTCGTTTTACTTATGTAAGAAAAAATAATTATGTCGTTTTGAATCAAATAACTATGCGATATTGTACATTTTATATGCAAAGAAGATGAAGATAACTTGATCCAAATTTAAGTTATGCTTCCATTTAATAAAACTCCTTTTTTCCCATTTTCGTGCATGTCACGGGACTATATAGCATTTTGATAAGGACTAACTTTTACCGTTTTAATGAAATAAATAAAATTTGTGAAATGTTTACTATTTTTAGCCATTAGTATTTAATAAAACAATGGTGCAAAAAGGTTTTTATGTCGGTTAAAGAGGCATGAACCGATATAGAAAGTAATGAACTTTTTACGAAAATTGTTATTGGTAGGATTCAATTCAAACCCAGTACATTAGAGTCTATAATTAGATTAACCACTACACTAATACGATTTTTATTTATTTATTCATATTATATTTTTATTATACTTTATAATATATTATTTATTATACTTTTAAGAGATTTGTGTTTAGTAAGATTCGAACCCAAGTATCTTAGAGTTGGAGACTCGATACTCCAATCACTAAACTACTACGAATTTCCGATACATAACTTACAAATAAATTATATTTATATACAAAATATATAAATACAAATATATTTATATATTTTGATATATAAATATTTATATACTTATATATTTAATTTTTTTTATTTAATATACACTTTCTATGTCGGTTAAATTTTAACCGACATAAAAAGTGAATTTGTCCACATACCATGTCGATTATATAACAACCAACATAAAAAGTTCATAATATTATTACAAAAATCTACCGCCCTATATACTATAACGGGTGGATTACACCGTGATAAAATGTCGTCATATAATCATATTTTTCCACTAGTGAAAAAAAAAACAAAATATGTGAAATGATTGAAGCTGAAGTTCTTTCTCTCTCTGATTGCTGTTGCTCACCATTAACATTTTGATGAAATAACTAAAATCTAAGAATTATGTGCTATTATGAGTGATTGAAACTATACAACATATGCGTCACATCTTCTTTTTAATAAAAAAAAACGAAAAATGTAACATTAGGTCAAAAAAGACAATTTTGTAGTTTTTTTAATTTTCTATAAAAAAATATTTATTAACTTGAATTTTTATTATCATTATTAGGAATAGGAGTTCCATATTATCTAAAAATCAATATTAAGATTTGATATAAGAGTTTTTTATTAAAATTAAGATTAACGATAACTTATATATATCTTTATATATATATATATATATATATATATATATATATATATATATATATATATATATATATATATACCTTAAAGATAAAATCAATCGTGTTTACGGATGAAAATTACAATAAAGATGATATTTTGAACATAAAAATTAACTTACAAGTTGAAAATTTACTCTAATAATTTTATAACAGTGAAACTCAATTTTGCTCCGATCTAATTGTAATAATTAAACAAATCAAATGTAAATAAATAAATAAAAAATATAAAGTATATTATATTAAGAGTATACTTAACACGATTGGTTGAATTAATTTCTTCTGATCCTAAAATCTTAATGTTTGACTACCTAGACAAAGTACCGACCTTACTAAAAAGTTATCTTAAACAATACAAGTGTTATCTTATTCTCTAATCTCATGCATTCTTGCTCACATAACGAATAATTCTTTTCAAATGACCGATAATAACATCAGAATATTTTTTTCCACGCCGAAAAAAAGGTAAGAAATAATAATAAAAAAAGTAGAAAAGCTGAGAAAACAAAAGGGAAGAACTTCAGCCATACCTTTACATGTCCACCTTTTTATATCATTGATTTTTTTTTTCATTGTCTTAATTTTGCATAATTAGCAAGTTTTCAATCTATTTAATGTTTTTTAATTTTTATAATTGAATCTTTGTAATGGTTTTCTATTGGGTTTTTGAAATTAACTATATCAATTAGTAAAAAATACCATAGACACCTTACATAAATGAGACTAGTGTTTATGGTATATTATTTGGTAAATTTTGAAAAGAAAAATATTTGTATTATAATCAACCTAAAAAAGTTAAAATTCCCTAAAATATTTATTTCAATTCATTTTGAGTTTGGTGTTTATGACTAATTTTTTGTGAGGACAATTAAACGGTAAGATCTAATTAAAAGTATAAACAATTTTAAAATTTTGATTGAAAACAATATAGTGGAGACAATTAATAACTACCCACTAATTCAAGGACATTTATAGTTTAACATTGAGAATAAGAAAGGTGCATCTAGCTTAATAGACCAACCATATGCACACACACATTGATGCAAGGAAAATAAAAAGAACAAAGAAAGTGGTGTGAGAATCTGCACGAGTGTAAAGGGAGTCAAACAAATTCCTAGAGAAATGGCATTATTAACAAATGAAAATTTAAATTTCCTTTAAAATATAAAATTATTTTAAGGATCCAAAATCATACCATGCATGCAATATTCTTATATATATATATATATATATATATATATATATATATATATTATTTTTTTCTTTTATAAAGAAAAATGTCTTCCATTTTGCCTTTGACCAGTTTAAACATGTGCCATGTATCATCAATAATAAAAAAAACATGCATAGTTGTTAGCTTATATATTTATTCTTATACGTTTAATATGTATCTAAAAATTTTAATATTGGAATTGATAATTCACACGTACTTAAGATTTATCTGATTAAAATATTTGAATTTTTTTTTAAATTTAAGACAAAATAAAAAATATAATATATATATATATATATATATATATATATATATATAATTTTTTTCTTATTCCGATATGATATCTTCTATCGGTTAGAGAAAAACAAAAACGTGCCTCAATATAATTTAAATTTCTGTTTTTTTATGACTATGTTCATGATGTATAATTAGGTTGAAGACTTTTGCTGTATATTATTTTGTTTTATAAGAGTTGTTCGTATGATACTAACCTTTGTTATATTTATTATTTTTTTTAACTTTAAATTTTAAAAAGAAAACGTTTGTTCAAAGGAAAATGTGCACCGCAAAAATGTTTAAATTATATCATCCATATAGTTTAAATAACAATAGTTGAAATTGAAGACTGGTTAAAATGAAAATTAAATTCTTAAAATTGTTATACAAAATATTATTGGAAATATTTTTTTATTATCTTTTATTTAAATTAGATATTAAGAAATTTTTATTATCTTTTAAGAGAAGATAAAAAAATATTAATTTATTATTTTTATTTAGGTAGTTATTATTGAGATATTATTATAAAATGTCCATATATAAATAGAGTACATAAATAAATACATATTTATGTGAGATATATTTCATATATAAGAAATATACATACATAAAACTCTAAAAATTTCTATCAGTGGTATCAAGAGCTTTGGTTCGGGATAATAGAAGGAGAAAATAAATTTTCACAAGTCGCTATTAATGGAAGGAGAAATAAACTTTTCACAAGTCCCTATTCCAATTTTTGATGGTGAAAGTTATGGCCTATGGATTGTGAGAATGCAATTCTATCTTAAAATATTGATGTATAGGAAGCAATAGAAAATGATTACATCGTTGTTGATCCACTGTCTGAAGATCCCACTATAGCTTAAATGAAATTTCTTAGAAAAAGAAAAACAAGGAAGACAAAAGCTAAATCATGTATGTTTATTGGTATTTCATAAAAGATTTTCACCAGAATCATGATGCTACCAAAAGGAACTTGAGATTATTTGAAAGATTAATATGAAAGGGACGAAAAAATTTGAGGTATGAAAGTTTTAAACTTAATAAGGGAATTTGAGATATAAGGATGCAAAAGTTTGAGAAATGAATACTCAAACAAATTATTGGGTATTACTAACAAAATAAAAAGGTAAGAAATTTCTTGATTGCAGAATAATTGAGAAAATTCTGGTGACGGTGCTAGAGAGATATGAAATATCTATTGTTTCATTGGACAATATAAAAGAGTTGTTAAATAATACTTTGACAAAAGTGTTACATGTTTGACAAGTACAAGAACAACAAAGATTGATAATAAGAGATCATACTGATGAAAGTTCTTTACTATATCATGGTGAAACTTCTCTCTAAGCCAAGAACAACAAGAACACCCACATAACAAGTATTGATGGATACCTGATGTGAAATATGTCAGAAATGTGGTCAAATAGGACATATAAAAAATATATGTAAATCACAACCAAAAGAAGTCATCAATGCTATAGATGATAGAGTAGAAGGGAAACTTATCATTGCGTCAATATGCTTTATAATCAATAAATTCACATGTTGGCTTATAGACCGTGGTTGTACAAACCATATGACTCACGATCAAGAATTTTTCAAAGAACTCGACTAATGTGTTATTTCTAAAATGAGAATTGGTAATGAAGAATAAATAAATGTGAAAGATAGAGGGAACAATTACAAATTTGGGTATCAAATTAATTTTTGATGTTTTGTATGTTCCTGATATCAATTATAATTTGTTAAGTGTTCCATAATTATTTGAGAAATCTTATAATAAGGTGTCTTTTAAATACAAATTTTGTGTGATTAAAGATACAAATAACTTGGAAATATTCAAGTTTACATGAAAAGGAAAAAGTTTCACGAAAGGAAGAGTTGACTAAAACGAGGATATAAAAGAAAAGTCAAAGGAAAAACATGATGAATATTTCTTAAAGAAATTTGATGTTAAGGAGGAAAATAAATATGTTAAAGGTAATGAAGTATGAAGTTTGAAATAAACAAAGGTAACGAAGTTGATAAAGAAAAAGAAACAAAATAAAAAGAAGAATATCAAATTCAAATAAATAGATATTAAAATAAAGAAAAATATTGAGAATATTACTTTATTATATTTTATTTAAATTAAGTATTAAGATATTTTTATCATCTTT